CAATTTCTCATGGAGGCACAAAGGGCATGGGTCATCCCAAGTTTTACATGTTCTAGTCCTGTTTATAATTTTCCATTTTACTTTAGGTGTCCTATTTGTTTCCTTCAGATGCCAAAAATATTTAGATAGGGAAGTCTGATTTATTTTATTTATATTATTGAAAGAGCACTTATGAGCATAAATATAATTATTTATTTAAAAATATGATTCCAACTCTGTTCCATCTTCAAGCGAAATTTTTTTTTGGAAAATTTCGCTTGAAGATGGAACAGAGCTTACTTTAACTCAATTTAATTCAAATAATTATATTGAAGTTTTCGGCTCTTGTTTTGAAACATGAGACCTCTTATGTCGCGAGTTGGAATCATATTTTTAAATAAATAATTATATATATATATATATATATATATATATATATATATATATATATATATATATAAACATGCCATGGATACCCGGCGGTCAGTCAGTCAAAAATAGCTTTGAATGCGAGAAGGCAAGGGGATTATGTTCTGTAACGTGTTTTTTGGTCATCATAAGGAATATAAGGCGAACATCTGAAAAAGTTGCTGTTACCGAAAAATTATTCTGATATCTGCTTCCCACACCAAACAAATGAAAATGGAAGCTCTTTAAAATATACAGAACTTGTGGTTCTTTCATTGGGTACCAATATATAATGATTGTTTGAGAACCAACTTCTGGAACAATCAATATAGAACGGCCCATAGGATAGACATGTAGAAGTCAGATTAAGGCCTGCGATCTCAAAAACATTCTTTTAATGCATTTTGCAAATATCATGGTTCTTGGGTTTTGAAGACGCTTGAACACTAGGAGACATGTCAGTTGGGCTAATATGGTCCCCGGTAATGAATTTATCCTTCTATTCCCTTACGCCAATGAAGTCTTGGTTATGTGTTAGAAGCTATTAGATAACTCCATTGCACTAATGTGAAGATTCCATATTTCTGATAATCATGATGAGATGTTTTAACTTTTAGTTGAAACCTGTGTGTTTAAGAACACGAAATAGCTCAGTTTGTTTCCAAAATGACTGAAACTGGGTAAATGCACCTACAGTTTAATCATCCCGGATTTAGATGCGTTTTATATCCCCCATAGTATAATATTGCGTAAAACAAATGCCTATTTCACTGGCACTACGGTTTTCTGTAGTTTTGTGGCTTTTTACATTTGGAAGAAAAAGAAACCCTGAAAAATCAAGTTTAATGTAGGATATTTTCGAATCTTGTTTTTCATTGATCGTTTACACAGAAAACATAAAATTACTCCATAGCATTCTATTCAGACCAGTATGTTTATTTTGCTATCTCAAAACAATTTCGCTCGTTTTACTGTCCGGATTTCTTTATATGTCTGTCGAATTCTATAACCTCCTTGGCATTCTAGCCGAACATCTTATTCAAATTGTTGTAAGTTTGATTTCCATACTTTTGCCTCATCCACCATATCATTTCATTCATTTATTCAGTTAACACATTTTTCGCCGCTTTGGTCACCATTCGCCTCCATCTCAGAATTGTGTTTTATAGTGACTTTCAAGGCAGAATAGAGTAATGGCTTTCTGGTTCTTTTTGCACCGGAGATGTTGAGATTATCCCGCCCCTCTCAGAAGATAAAGAGGCAGGACATACAAGGCAGATGGGTGTTTTGAATTTCACATTACCAACCAAAGTTATAAGACCCAGTCTGTCCTGCCATAAACTGGTGGGAAGAGATAAATTCACATATTTTTCAAGAGTATTAGCGCTTAAGTGAATGCAATGAACTAGGCTGGAATTCGAACGCGGCTCTCCGATTTCTCAATCCGAGCCGCCACCCATTACTACACCTTGTCTCTACGCGATTTATGAGGTGAAAAAAGTTGCATGTCATGACAATGTTAATATTCTTTTGCAAAAATTACTTACTTTGCTCTTTGTTTACCTCTATTGATCTCAGTTGACTTCGAAGGTCAATCTTATATATTCTGTATCACATGCATAATAAGCTTAGAAGACCAGCAGTGTAGTATGAGTGAGTAGCAAAAAAACTTACTCAAAAAATGTCAGAATTTCGAAATGAAGTTTTTTCAATATTAATTTTGATTCATTTTTCTTTTCTCGTTTGTAATGCAAACATTTTGGATGATATCGACACTTTAAAGATGCAGAAAATCCAATTTTTTTATTTAAATATATTTGCATATTTAATTTAGCTTAACTCACTCAGCTATTAATTATCCCGCTTTGTATAAGCATTGTTTTATGACGAAAGAATGTATTTTTTTATGATCCTTGACGTAAATTTACCGTAAAATGATCAAATCTACAAAGACAATTTTTAGTATTTACATAGTCAGGTAATGAAAAGTTTGGTACTCCGTGTGGATAATTCCAAAGAGGATGTAGTCCAGAGAGCTCAATGTCAAACCAGAGCGAATATTAATTTAATTAAAAAACAAACAACCTTAAAGTTCCATTGATTATATTTTATTTCCCCAGGAAGTATTACAAGCAATACATTTTTGAAGAAAAAAGAATTACTACCAGTACATTTTTGGAAAAAAAATATTACCAGCACTAAATTTTTGAAGGAGAAAATTATTACCAGCAATTCATTTTTAAAGAAAAATATTACCATCAATATATTTTTGGAAGAAAAACATTATTACTAGACATACATTATTGGATAAAAATTATTACCAGCAATGGATTTTTGAAGTTATTACCAGCAATACATTATTGGGGAAAAAAGAATTATCAGCAATACATTTTTGGATGAAATAAAATATTACCAGCAATATATTTTTGGAAGAAAAAATTATTACAAGCAATAAAAACTTTGTCGGCATTAAATAACCTATTGAGGTTGATATGCCATAAAACAAAATAAACCAAACCAAATTAAACTATAATTATCTTCAAAAAATAAAAAAAAGCATACAAAATCTTTAGTCATGCGTTTTGTGTTTTATGACCAGCTATTAAGTTTGTGAAATAGGGTCTCAAAAGCGGTCCCAAACCTGGCCAAAAGATAATTAAAAAAACTTATAAGTAAAGGAAAAAATTTGATGTCTAGTGGCAATAAGCAGGACGATGAGGATCTCCCGTAGCAGGTTTATATTAATGGCCAGGGTTCGGATTTCGAAGAGATCTGTCAGTTCTTGGAGTGGGACCGATTGTCCCTCGAAGTATCGCCGGGCTATTCATTACCCCACTTACATAGATTACCAAAGTAGTTTAAATGATTTAGAGTTGCCAGCCAATGTTGGAATGAGCAGAGAGTTGTCAGAATAAAGTCAGTGCTCTTTTTGGTTGAAAGGAAAGGCTGATCTATTACTTTGAAATGTCAGAAGTAGCAGAAGTTGTCCCCAAGTGTCACCTACCTACCTACCTACCTACCTACCTACCTACCTACCTACCTACCTATTCAGAATGTGCAAATGAATCGCTGAAGTAAACAGATAAATATTTTGGAAACAGAGTCATTTTTTTTCATTTATCGCCGTGATGTTTATTTTTCAAATTTCGTTTCCCTGTGAGCGTGCAACAGGCCTTTCCCAGTTTTTGATGCATAGTGACACAGAACGGGATAAAGATGCAACGTGGGGTTCTATTTTATAGTGAAATGTTAGTACAGGGCTCTGTTCTATGTTTACATATTAATTATCTCTAACATAAACACCGGCACTGAAATATATAAAGAAATTAGTAATTTCTGGCTGAATTCTAATGAGATGAGAGGTAGAAGGACTGAGAAATGTGATCGGAGAGGCGGTCAATACATATATTAAAATCTGATAGCAAAGAAAATCCGTATGCATTCTTTTGTGATGTGATCAGGATCTGTGCATCAATCTGGTTTCTGGAGGTTTGGTAAGACACCTACAGCCGGTTTGGCGATCTGCGGAAGTGAAGGAAAATTACAAAAGAACACCTTTAGAGTTTACAGTTAACAATCTACCTAATTAAGCAATGTTACGTAAGCGACTGGCTTAAAGCATGGTATCGGTAAAACGTCTCAAACGGAAGCCTTACCTTTGGTCTCCGACATGATGTGAAAGAAGCCTTTAATAATTATGGAGATCAATCCGGAGATAAGTTAGCCATCTAATATTAATGAAAAAAATAGTCTACCTAGGGTAATTAGCTTTTGAAATCTCATTAAAACACCCCACTGAGACCTCATATATTTCTTCCAGCGTTCCATCCACTTCTACAAACTGTCCGAAATGTCCTCTTTAGGGATCACCATCAGCTGTCATATAAAGTTCTCCTTAATCGCCATCACGTTCTGAAAATCTCTTCCTTCAAAATGCAGATGTAGACATTCAAATAGCCGTCGCAAGGTTGTAAATACGTATTTTTCAGTGAGCTTTGAGACTTGGTTGATGCGATGTTTTTCCTAATCTCCTAAATGGGAAGTATAGACAGTTAGAATATTCAAAATGATTTGAACCTTTCCGAAAGGAGTCTCCCCATATATATATATATATATATATATATATATATATATATATATATATATATATATATATATATTATGTATGTATGTATTTTTAGCTGACGTTAATTCCGTGCCAGTTGACTTAAACATCTTGTACACGCTAAATAAGAATCGGCAACTCATGATTCGTGAATTTGCCTCCAAATATAGTTTTAAGACGTACTCCATTTTCTTTCCTGGCCTGCCACTCATCTTTCCTTGGCATGTGGTGAACCTCGACCAATTTATCCATAAAACTATTATTAATTTCTACCTTCCTCACATTCATGTCACCCTCAAAGGTTTCATTTTATACTGTCAATTATCTCACAGTTTTTCCTCTCACCTCCGACACCGACTCCGGCTCATTACCAATTCCCCAGTCACGCTAATAACCTGTTCTCTAAAATGGGCGCCTTTTACAAGACTGACCGCCTGATCACTTGTAAAAGACAATTCTCGTTCTTAACCAGTGTAAGATGAACCTGCTCACGGCTCTAGCAACACCCATGAGTGACCCATGTCCATTCGATGGTCTGACCACGCGCACAGATGACCCACACGGCTCGTTCGCTTCCCGCAAATGGCGCCGATTGCTAATTTTCGACGTCTGTTGTGTCGACATGGAGTCGGAACCTTGAAGGCGGGAAAAAGATGAATGATGGAAAGTTTCCTAGAAGAATGAAGAAAGGGTAAAGAGAAGGTGAAAAAAAAGGTAGTCAATAAAGGGTTTGTGGAATGGAGAGAAGAAAGAACAGTAAAACAAAATGGAAAATGATAAAAGAGTCACGTTGAAATAGAGTGAAATCGAGACAAGGAAGAAAAAGAAAGACTGACAGACAGATAGAAAGCAAATGAACAAAAAGTGATGAAAAAAAGATATTTTGGGGAGTGGAAATTTTACCTGTCTTATACACTGTTTGTAAATTCATTAGACAATTCATTGAACACAATACTATCTCTCTATCTCCCCCTCTCTCTGTCTGTCTATCTATCTATCTATCTATCTAAATATGTTCATATCTATCTCAGTCTGTTCGTATCTATGTATCTATCTCATTCTCTTCATATCTATCTATCTATCTATCTATCTATCTATCTCATTCTGTTTATATCTATCTATCTCATTCGGTTTATATCTATCTATCTATCTATCTATCTCATTCTGTTTCTATCTATCTATCTCATTCTGTTTATATCTATCTATCTATCTATCTATCTATCTATCTCATTCTGTTTCTATCTATCTATCTCATTCTGTTTATATCTATCTATCTATCTATCTATCTATCTATCTATCTATCTCATTCTGTCTTCTCATTCTGTTTATCTATCTATCTATCTCATTCATTCATTCTATCTCATTCTGTTTCTATCTATCTATCTATCTATCTATCTCATTCTGTTTCTATCTATCTATCTATCTATCTATCTCATTCTGTTTCTATCTATCTATCTATCTATCTATCTATCTATCTATCTATCTCATTATCTATCTCATTCTGTTCATATCTATCTATCTATCTATCTCATTCTGTTCATATCTATCTATATATCTATCTTAAAATATTTAAAATATGACATAGAATTCCCGTCAACTAAACCAACGAGGAGCGAAGAGGTTTATCTTGAAACTGAGTTTAAAAAGAGAACGAACGAATTCGGTAAAATAGAAAAAACAAGCAAACAAACAAAAAGTTTATAAAAGCAAATGTCGAATGAAACATGATGACAAGAAAAAGATAAAAAAACAGGGTATAAAATTTGGTAATCTTCGGACTGACTAGAATCCAAAGCGACAAATGAAAAACATATAGTATATATTATCGACAATTTCATGTATAGTGCGGACTCGGATTTTTTTTTATGAATTTGAACCCCCCTCCCACCACCACCAAAAAAATGACCTGTACATAGTGCAACTGGTCACCAAAAATGCATGATCATTAACCTCTTTAAAAGTATTGCCTATGTATAGCGCAATCATAAAAGCTCGCACTATACTCTGATATATATGATATTTAATTCAGTAAATGTGTGGATGATTTTAGTATTCTAATCTCGTAATAAATCGATTTCCATCATTTCAACAGCTGTATTTCTGGAACAAAAACCATCTCAAGATCCATAATCTACTGGTGGGTAGGTCAACTACATCAATAACATTTAGATTTCGAATTTTGTTTCCTACTCTCATTACTTGCTTTTAATCTAATGTATGTATGTGCGTAGCTGACCATTCGTATTCGAGGATAACCGTCTACTAGGGCGATTAGCTAATCCCTATTGCAGACGCTTGCTCAGGCACATTTGTGTTTGTTCAACATCCACAGAGCCCACCTGTGGTTTATACTGAAACTATGCTGAGCAGACCTTAGTTACAGTTTCTGGGAAAGAGCGTGTTATCTAGCGTGGTCAACAATCTGAACAAGACCAGCACACTCAAACCCTCGGTCACGATGACTTGTGACTTCGTGCAAGCACAGCTATCGACGGCATCCAAGGGTTCCCTCTACCTAATTTCACTTGCAAGGCTTGGGTCAACCCCGTACTATGGCTTTCAGGTACTTTCCAAAGGTGCTGCACGCTGGGAACGACTCCTCCAATCCTCCTTCCTGACAAATCGACCATGGTGAGATTCGAACCCGGGTCTTATGGTCAGAATGCGAACGTTGTAACTACTCGGCCACTTGTCCATAATCTAATGTAATTATAACCTATTATCGGATGGTCGACTCCCCAGGAAATGAGGTAAGAATTGGAAGTATGAAAATGAGGCAAGTAAGGAAATTCAAATAACTGGGAAATGTTTTACGCAAAATATGGCACCGAAATCCGAACGTGCATTGGAATAATAAAAGATGCCTTCTAAAAGCTAAGCAAAGTATTAATAATAAATAGGAAAATTTAATTAGAATCAAAGAAAAGGGTGCTCAGTAATTATGTAGTATCAATCCTTCTGTATGGCAGTTAATGGTGAACAATTTCTCGCACATGAACAAGAGACTTGAAGCGACAGAGATGTGATTCGACAGGATGTCGAGAATACCCTCGATGGAGCATGTGAGTAACGAGAAAGTTTTAAGGAATATGCAAACAGAAGAGACATTTATATTTGGAATCAGAAAAGAGTTAGAATTTCTAGGATACATAATGAGGAAAGAAGGCTTAGAAATTTCACATGACATATTGCAGTAAACACCAAATAGTCTACCTAACAATGTTATCTAAAATAGGGAATGTGGAAGGAAAGCAAAAAAGAATCTTGCTAAGAAATTGGTGAGAGCCATAATTGCTCATGCCCTGAAGGAACAGCACATAGAAAATGAAGAAGAAGAACATTAACCCAAGAGTCTAGCAATTAAGAGCCTACTGTAGCTCGATCAATTGTAAGTTTGTTTGGGAGACAGCTTAACTAGTGAAACTCGATCGTTACTCACACGGATAGACTCATTACTCAGATCTTGTGCCATACAAAACATTATTTACACATATAAATCCAGTATATATTGCTCCATAGCGCTTTGCATGTTTTGTTTTTGTTCATAGCTTAGTCAGTCAGTCAATGAGCGATCATGTCTTTCTCGATTCATGACCATTCAGCAGATTTCCCCGCTGTAGGTTGCCGTTTCTTTCGACGGTAGACTTGTTGACAACCAAAGCTATAGGACCCAGTGTCCTGCTTATTTAACACATAGGAGGGAGAGATGGATTCGTACCTTTCCGAGGGGTATTTCCGCGTAAGCGAATGTAAGGAAGCCGATAGCCTAAAAAGAGCATACTCCAAAATGTGCCGCCATTTGAAAACTATTTTTTGTTACCGCTTCTGTATTTAAACTGAATATATTTCCTTATAAATGTAATATTTTAAATAGACAAGCAATTTAGATTTTGAATTTGATCATATGTCAACGAAGCCACAGTTATACTTGCAGGATGACTCATCAACGCTAACTCATCACCAGCCAGTTCATCTCCGTGACAACTTAACTCCAGAACAACTCAGCTCCAGGAAAACTCACCACCGGCCTACTCAGTGTGAAGACAACTCAATGACATGTAAACTGATATTTTTTCGTCGACATTTTAAAACAAATAGAATTAATTTATTAAGGAAAATATTTTAATACATGACTTTACTTTTACTTTAAAATTTAATTAAAAATTGTATGCAATTCCCTTCAAATATTCAGTTGGAGATCGTTGTATAAAAGAAGAAATAATCTGCAAAATTCTTTCATCTATCCTCATAGACTTCTTCAGTTTATGGGGAGGGTGATGATCTCGAATTAATTGCTCGAAAAATGCATCTTGATTTCCTTGCACTTTTAGTAGCCCTGTAATGAATCTCCATATTGTGGGGTTCTCCTTGCCCAGCTCTGTGTACAGTCTTCTATTTGTTTCAACATGGAACTTGTCCGAACTTGAAAATTAAACACCAGTCAGTCAAATAGGCTGTTGTAACTAATAAACAACCAAACTTTCAAAATCTCCACGACTTAAAGCCGATCTAAGAGATGTGCACATCAGGACAGCAAACACAGGTCTGAAGCTATGCGTTGAGTTGTCCTCTCACTGAGTAGGTTCGTGGTAAGATGTCCTGGAGTTGAGTTGTCATGGAAATGAATTGGCCGGTGTTGAGTCGGCGGTGATGAAATGTCTCATCCCGATAGCTACCGAACTAGATTTTTCAAAAAACTATGAATTGTTTAAATGCAAGATATAACCAGGTTAAACATAAAACCGCAACTCTCGGCCAGTCCTTCACATAGCTTCATTCCCATGGTAATTATCGATTCCCGCTTGCGGTGGTGTAAACAAAAGGAAGGAAAGGGCCGGTGAATTTTCAACAAGGAAGAGAAGGCGAAATATCACCACCACAGGAAAAAGGCAAAAATTCAGTTTCCAATGTATGTGGTTCTTTAGCAATGGATTCACCTGACACGGTCTCGAAGATGCCCAAAGTGACATAAGTGTCACTTCGGACATCTTCGCTGTTCCTTCTGTCTTCCTTCCCAACAGACAAATCTTCCCTTCGACCAGCGAGAATTTCGATTACCCCCTCTTTCCATCTTTCACTGCAACTATCACATTTACTTCCCCTCTCTACATCTTCGACTGCTTCCGTGACTTTGAATCTCTACTTCTCCCTAGAGGGCTTATAAATAGTTAACCAGTCTGTCTATGCCTATAATCTGACTTACTGCCTCTCTGTTCATCTCTACATCACGAGGGATGACTCGTCATTCTAGAATGTCTCCTGACTATATAAGTACAATTCTTTACTTTATGCCCCAGAGGAACTTGACTCCGAAAGTTATTATTTACTTACTTTATTTCCATTTTCCTGACTTAAGTACATGTGTGTCTTGAACCATTTAAGCGGTGACACATTTTGTTAATATCGAGAGTGACTAGCTCGTGTTCGTTGATAATAAGCCTTGAATTTTTGGTAATGACTCTTAAAATTTTGTACTCGAGCACGTTCAGATATGTTCAAATTTTTGGTTTCTTGAGAACGAGAGAAGATTCGTTCGTTACCGAGCAGTAGAGGAAGTTGTATACATTCATGTTATACTGCTGGAGGTAAATGAGTAAAATGAATCTGGACTAGCAGATTAACATCAATTTTTTGTGATGATTGGTAAAAGTGGTATTGGAATGTTAGCCGTATTAAAAATGGATTGTGGTGAACGTGCTCTGCAGAAATCAATTGTTCTTTTATAGAAAAGGATGTTCAAGCAAGGACAAAAAAGATGTGGGCGGCCAGAAACTCAAAGAAGATGCAAAAGTAGACCGTATTCGAACTTTGCGCGTTCGGATCTAAAATGAAGTCTAATAGCAGAACTGAATACAAATAGGGAAACAGAGCGAAGATTTTAACGGAAATGAGAAAATAATTCCTTAAAGATTGTGCCTCGTATCTTGACACTTTAAATTCTGAAAAAAGCTATGTGAAAGCAAAGCAAGACGTACTTACCTGTTTACTATTGGTTGCTGTCATCTTTTAAAAGGAGAAAAAATCTTGATCAATAAGTGAACTTTTACATTCATATGATAATCTATGAAACAAATTGTTACAACTTATTTTCATTTCACGATTTAATATTGATTTAACAGCAAAAAAAATAGCATAAATTTGGTCATAATATATAAAATATTCTTTTTTGGACATAATACAAGTTTTAGAAAATTGTAATGCTCATTTATATTATCCAAAATGAATTCCGATTACACAGTCACTCTACTGAGAGAAAGAAAGAGAGAGAGAGAAAGAAAGACATTCTATTGAGAGAAAGAAAGAAATTCTATTGAAAGAAAGAAAGACATCTTATGAGAGACAGAAAAACATTCTATTGAGAGAAAGAAAGACGTTCATCTGAGAGAAAGAAAGACATTCTACTGAGGGAAAGAAAAACATTGATCTGAGAGAAAGAAATACATTCTATTGAGAGAAAGAAAGAAATACATTCTATTGAGAGAAAGAAAGAAATACATTCTATTGAGAGAAAGAAAGAAATACATTCTATTGAAAGAAAGAAAGAAAGAAAGAAAAAAAGAAAGAAAGAAAGATATCTTATGAGAGACAGAAAAACATTCTATTGAGAGACAGAAAGACGTTCTACTGAGAGAGAAAGAAATAATGCAGACACTGTAATTTGCAATCTTTCAGAACAAAATTATATAAAATATTTGGTACCGAAA